TTTATACTCATTGCACTTTTTGTCGCTCAATTATTTACAAAGCAATTTTGTCGTCTCTTAGTTCTATTAAGGTATGTTAAAACAAAACTATTTCGCGTACAATTCATAAAATAAAAAAGATACGGAGTAGTTTGTAAACATTTGAGAGATGATAAAAAAAAATGGTAAACATATAATTAATGGATAAATTTTTGTTTTTTATTTTTTTTTTCTACAATTTAGGGGCTAAATTTTTAATCTGCAAAAACTATCTCATCAACCACAATTTAGGATATTTGTCACATTCTCTTGGCTGCCTGGCTGGTGTATAATTTTTGACACCTTTTTCTCACTATGCTTCGTACGGAGTATTAAAAATCAATCTAATTATACCTTATTTTCTTTCTTTGAATTGCCATGTATAGTCAACTTCTTTCAATCTTTTTTACACTTCTCAAATCCAAATAGCTACATATTTGTGAAAAATATAATAATAAAGTATAAAATTAATATTAGATGGGCTCAAATAGGTAAGATACTAAGATTCTCGTCCACACAAAAATTAATTCATTAATTGATTAATTTAAACAGTATTTTATTTTTAAAAATTTGAGGTGGGTGGTGGGTACAAGTACTATTACTAATGTACTCAGTTTACTTTTTGTAAATTCTAAAATTTAATTCATTTTAAAATTATTTTTACTTATACATAAAAATAATTAAAAAAAAAAAAAAAAAAACCTCAGCCCCTAATTTTAAGGGCACTGTGTCATTGCCCTAACATCCAGAGCCGACATTATCAGTGCATGAAAAATAAAGAAGTTTTGCGATATGACTCAATTAATTTATCGATTAAAAAGGAGTTCAATATTTTACTCTACTTCTTTTAAAAGGTTGAATAACCAATCCCACTCAATGAAATAACTCTTCAAAATCAATTGTTTGAATCACGTAGAAATTTTATTTTATTATGAAAATATTAATATTTAACATTTTAAAGAGATTTAGTTATGTTGGTGCAATTGCCCATGCCTATAAACTTCTTATTAGATCTATTGGTAGTTGTGAGGTCTATAGCTACTTCATTAGTAGAGATAAAATCACGCAACTCATTCGCTTGCCAAAGCTGATGGAGCGTGATTGTCCGACTCTAAGTGATTCGATGCACCTTCAGCCTTTTTTAAAATTTTATTTTCTTAATATATTTGTTTTCGATTGCTTTGAATAAAAATAAAAAATCAAATATCACAAGTATGTCAAACAAATTAATAAGACAAAATTATGTCAAACATTACGAGTATCATTTTCATATCTTTTATGGGTTAATCACTTATAAAAATAATGTTTCATAATTCTGAAATAATTTTTTTTTCTTCATAAAAAGTGTACTTTCCTCCAAGAGATTAATTATCCAATACACATTCAGTGTTCTAGCATCAACGTTGTGTTTAATTTAATTTTCCATGTCTTTGACTTTCCTTTTTCAGTTTTTAATTTGCCCAATTCTTTTTCTCTGATCTATTTTATATTTTATAAATTTAAAAATAAACACACTTTATTATTCTATTTTCAATTTTTATTTTTCAAAAAAAAAATTATAGTTTGTCTGTAAATAAAATGTTTTTTTTTTTAAATGATAAATAAGGGGTGAATTCGATTAAAACTTCTATAAACTTTAAAAAGTTTAAAAGTATTCAATTCAAAATTTGGGTGTAATTCGTTCATATTTTTAATGTCTTTAGAAGTTTATTTGGTATTAAAAAAGAGATGGATTTTTATATACTTTTTTCATTAAGATTTTTGTAAACTTTTGTCTCTTAATTATCAATTGTTTCAAATGTGTTAAAATATCTTCTCTCCAAATAAGCTTTCTTTTGGTATAAACTCTACAAACTCTTTTTCCATATCTAAATTAAACTTTATATAATGTCTACAAAAAAAAAAAAAAAAAATTCTCCCTACCTAAAATCTACATATTATTTTTTTCTTCATTATTATTTTAATCTTCCCTAGGCACTAATATGGATTTTTTTTTTAAGTTAGCCACTAAAACTATACAAGTTTTTTTTAAAAAAAATAAAAATAAAAATTTATATGAGTGTTGTGTATATGACCATTTTTTTTGTAATATTATATAAAATGAGATTTTAAAAAAATTATAATACATTATTTTTAACAAAAACGTTTTTTTTTTTTTTTTTTTTTTTACAATACATAATTTTATTGCTAAGTAATATAACAACAACAACAATGACAACCCAGTCCCCTTCCACTTAGTGTGCTGACAGTTGGGACGAAAGGATTAGTCTTCTCGCTGCCGGCTGGAAGGATACCTTTGGGTAACCAAAAAAAAAAAAAACAATAATAATAGTCAATGAAAATTTGTAAGAGCGTATTTAATGATATAAATTTACGCTTGCAATTAACTCAATCGGTTCGACCTTAAAAAAATAATTATTATAAACTCTTAAAAAATTTGCAAATGTGTAAGGAATTTTATAATAGTAATTTAAAATCTATCACAATTTATAAAATCCTGTCATTTTTAAAAGTTTACTAAATTTTATAAACATCTTGATTCAGGGGGAAAAGTAGTAATAATCAATAAATGAACATAAATAAATATAATAATGGAGGAAAATAAAACAAAGAAGCAAAGATTGACTAAATTTTACTTAAATTTCGGCTTTAGGTTTCCATAGCTGTCACCATTGAATTATTATGAGTAATAAATATATAAATGTATGAGAAATGGCCATGAAATTAGCAAAATAACGGAGTCAAAAAAGTTTCCAAACAACAAAACGGCGCCACCGCTACGCCGTAAGCAACGGCCGAGATTGGCGGGTGCCCAACAGTAAAAGCCTAACGGTTGACACGTGGCCTTCATCTACTGCGTCCTCGTTAGGTGGGCCACATCCCCCATAATGCCCTTCCACTTTCCTGCCAATAATGGCCCACATAATTTAGCAGTGTACACATACACGTACCAGCTTTTTTGTCGACCGATCCAGATATTCTACCATATAGATCTCCAATGGTGGGTCCCCATGCACCCTCTCAAAATTCTTTATATTTATTATTACTTGTATATTGTTTTTATTTTAATACGGTCTATAAATTAATAGATTATAATTATTTATCAATATATTTGAAAAAAATAATTTTTTTAAACAATCTTGCTCAGAGGTAGAGTGAAAGTTTAATTTAACATGTGAGTGTAGTTGAATGGAAAAGACTCATTAATTATTAACCAAAGGTCAATGATTCGATCATTCTTCTTCCAAAAGGCTGAACTTCAACCCTAAGAGCCCTCACATTCTGACTCAACAGAGTATTTGGGTCAATGATTCGATCATTAGCTTTGTATGAAGCAGCCTTAAATCTCTAGGCTAGCTGTCTCACTCAAAATAAGTGCTTACAATCTAACGAGAGAATTAATCAGTCCGATAGTGGAAACAATGGGTACACCAAAACAAAAAGAGTGAGAGTTCAATTTCCACGGAAGACATGTGAGGTTATTGGGAGACTCAAAATTCAAAAAACAAATTAAAGGATCAATTAAACGACTCGGGATTTACCTTCAACAGCACTATTATTGAACATGAATTCTTGAGGTTTATAATTAGTCTAATTTAAGCTAAAAAAAAATAACAAATTTACTAGGAAAATGAAACAAACTAGTATAGAATCATGGTAGTGTGACTTCGATATATACAATATGTTATTAGAAGAGGACGAAGACCATTATGAATATGCTCAAGCAAATGCAACTACTCTTTTGACTATATTTTTGTTGCTATCTAATAATCTGCGCACTAATTTAATATTAATTAAATTCAATGAATGTGTGTATTACTATTCTTTTTTAGTGATGTTCTATTGTGAACTGTCTTAGCCCTTGAATTATAAGTATGAATTTGAGACGTGTTAAATTATTATTATTATTATTATTATTATTATTATTATTATTATTATTATTATTTGTTGTAAAAGAAGACATTATATAATTTATGAAATTCAATTTTTTGGATGAATAGTTAAACGAATCCAAGATATTTTCTTTATGTGAACGACCGTATAGAATGTTTCTAACAAGTTTTGTGTGAGATCATCTCATAAATAAGGTATCTGTGAAACGAATATATAAATGGTTTGATTTTTATAGTAAACTATTACTATTCCTATTCCATTTACTTGCCCACTTTACTATTCTATTAAACCAATTATTTTTCTTTACTTATTTTATTTATTTTTTAAATAATTTTTAAACCTTTTGTGTGTTTAAACATTCCGTTTGTAATTGCTAAATATATATATAAACTTTATATACTAATATTAAATTAATTATTATAAAATATTTTAAATTATAAATAACTTAAGTTAAATTTCGTTAATTAAACAAGGCATATAAAATATACAAATGAAATATATTTTAATTTAAAAATAAGTACATGCCAAAAATTAGTAAATAAAATATTTAAAGTTTACACCAAAAAAATATAAATATTTAAAGTAAACATATTTTCAATCAAAAGGCACAAAAGGTAATATATTTTTTTAAGTAACAACTATTACTTCCGAATTAAAAATTTGAATATTTGTCTAGAGCAAATTCATAACACATCTAAAATAAACCATATATAAAGTAAAATCTATCTTTTTCAAGTCAAAAGATAATAATTTGAAAGCCAAATCTATTTTTTACGGCTCAAATCAATTTTTGAGATTTGTTATGACAAATCAAAACATGCTAGACGATTTTATACAAATTTTTGTATATATAACACTCGAGTATAGAATTATAATTGGTTTGCATGTTGACAATTTATTATTAGACAAGAAATATAATGACTTATAGCAAGCTAGATAGATATTCATATTGTTTATATATTTTTATATATATTAGTGAATAATGATGTTGAAATTGTATATAATAATAATATTGAGCATGGCATGTATATGCACCGGTGGTAGCTGAGAATATTGGGCAGAGATCTCAATTTCCATATTTATTAAATATTGTTATCTTTTTTAACTTTTATTTATTTTGCAATATAATATTCCTTCTTCTTACACATATATCACTTCATTCTCTCCCATTTTTGCACTTTCTCCCCTCCGCATGCATCTCTACTTTTCTCCTCTCTACTCCCTGCAGCTCTCTAATTCTACTCTCTCCCTCACAAATATGGTCTGAATCAATATTCTGTTCTTCTCGTTTCTCTAATCTGAAGAATTTGTAGTTAATTTTAATTCAAAGGTTGTTTTTGTGACGAAATATTGATCGATGTTGAAATTGAAGGTTGGGTGCTCAAGGGAGCCGGAGTGGGTGACGGCGTTGTTGCGGAGTGAATTCTTCGGGTCGTGCGTCGATCACAGCGATCGTCGCAAAAGCGAGAGGAATATGTTCTGTATTGATTGTAGCCTCGGATTCTGCAAACACTGTATTGCTTCTCCGTCGCATTGTATTCGTCACCGTTTGCTCCAAATCTGCAAGTATGTTTATCAGGATGTTGTTCGTCTACAAGACATCCAGAGATATCTCGATTGCTCTCATATTCAAGTCAGTGATAGATTTCTCTGTATTTCTGATATATTTTTAGTATAATTTCTACTTTTTCAGTTAAATTTTTCTCAAATTACAGAAAATTGCATCTAATTCTTTCATTTATATTGGATTTGTTTTGTTTTGATAGGGGAGTATAGTATTTCATTTACGTCTCTTACAAATTTCAATGATTTGAAATTATCTGTACAATATAATCCTTTTATATTCTTTATTATATTCCTTTTGTTTTTATCCCTTTAAATATACCCTAATTTTGAATTTTTAGAAAAAAAATTGATAACTAATCCTTGATAAGCCAAGTATTAATCTTTATCTTATTTCTAAATTTTTAAATTGTATTAAAAAAAATTAAATTTGAAGTTAAAATTAGGTAGAGTGTACCATAAAATGAAAATTCCATGTGCCATTTAATGATTGAATAACATATATATGGTGATGATTTTTGTTTGACGATTTGATATGTAATTTAGTGACAACTTTGACCCACTAATCAACTTGCTAGCTAGCTACCTACCTTTAACTCTTTGCATTCAAATTAAACCTATTTCATTTAATTTTAATAATTTTATTGTTTTGTTCGTCATTGTGTATTAATTTTTTTACAAATGAATGTAGACCTACAAAATCAACGGCGAGAAGGCGGTTCATTTGAATCCACGGCCACGATCCAAAGATAGCAAAAACTGCAAACAGAAAGGAGGTTCGTGTTGTGATGCATGTGGGAGGCATATTCAAGAATTCCCAAATCGCTATTGCTCTATTGCATGCAAAGTAATTATATATTTTCCCTTTATCTACTCATTCATTCTTATTTTTCTTAATTCAAACTTCAATTCAATCTAATTCGATTTAAGTATAGATTATAAAACTAGCTTGGTTGGCGTGAATTGTTATGCACTCATCTCCCTTAAGAGAGGTCAGGAGGTCAAACCCTTTATTATGAAAAAAACCAATCTGGCCAGCACTTTGCTCGCGAACGTGGATTAGTCTGAGTATGGTACGAGTTTATAGGTGCCTCCTACAATTAAGGCATGCTCAGAACACCACATGGTCTGACCAGAAAAAGAAAAATATATCAACAAATATAATGCTCTGTCGGGCCGGGATTGGGGAGAAGAAAAAGAAAAATATATCAACATTTAGCTAGTTATAAGTCATTTCTAATCTTATCTTATAAGTTGCCAACCTGCCAACCAATTATTATACGCATTTCTTTAAACCTTTGAGAGTTTAGATTATTGAGTTATGAAACGAAGTTAGTGTTTTCCAACATAGTCCATAGAAGACGACAATTGTCTTACATTGTGTTGATTTGATCATTGAAAAACAATAACAACAAATAAAATAAGTAGTAATATAAATAGGTTAAATACGATTACATTTTAAAATTGATCGAATTCCTTTTGCATGGTATATAAATTGCTTGTTTTGAAAGGTTGGGGCATATATAATTAGTTTATTAGGATTAATTGATTAGGGAAATATTTCATGTTCTTAATTGGATATTATATTTAACTTCATTCGCAAGATTTTGCCTATAAATTAGCTGGCCGGCCTTGTATACATTTTTTGGTTAATGTTAATTACATTGCTACTATATCTATGTTAGCATATATATACAACATTCAATATTATATTACATATATAGTCCATATATTTAAGCTAAATATTCATTACTGATTTGAAGATACAATTTAATTTATATGTAGGTTTCTGACATTTATAAAGAGTGTAAAAATGAGAAGATAATATCGATCCGGATTTCGCAGTTTGATCATCATATCTCCTCCAAGGAAAATACAACTGAAAATGAGTCTTGCAGTTCCTTAACAGAGTCATCAGAGGTAATTCAAGTTTGGGTAAGCTCAGCCTTAAAGCCAAAGAAGCAACTACACAAGAGGAAAGGTGTTCCATGTAGGGCTCCTCTATGCTAATAATTCCTACATACCACAAGCAAGAAAAAAGTTATATTATTATTATTTTTTTGTTTTATATTATTCCTCTTTAAATTATTTTTTTGGGTGGAATTTAATTATATTGGTTGGTAATTTCAATAAAGCCACTGCACATTAATTTCACTACTACATAGATAGAGGAATATATATAATATATGAGTTATGGATTAGTTGAAGTTGTGTTCCCCACCTTTGTCTGAAAAGAACAATAACAACAACGTTTGGTGGGTTGTACTTGTACATCATCAGCCTGGTGGTTTTTGCGGCTAGCTACATCAATGATTTTCCACTTTGTACCTGTATATATATTATTAAGGTAGAATAAGAACTGGGAATTGTGATTTGTTTTAGGACTTAAATCTCTTTATTCATATTCAAATTAAGATATTAAGTTGAAAATGATAAAAAATATCTTTACAAATTTTAGATTTTGACATGTTTTAAAAGGAGGGGTTATCCGTGTCATTCACTTTGGCACTAGAACAATAGTCTTATACGAAAATTGGTACTACAACAATAATCGTGGATGATAATTGGTAAGAATTAAGTATGTGCACTAAAACTGTCATTTTACTAATGCTCGTGAAGTCATGGAATTAAAATTGGTATTTGTTCATATATATATATATATAGTGCCATCTCATAATTTTCTTTAATTAATTGCAATACGTAACAATATTGCCACTTAATGCATATAATGACAGGTCAAAGACGTCCTTAATGGTCAAAGTATGCATAAACTACTTTGACATTACAATAATATATATATATATATATATATATATATATATATATATATATATATATATATATATATATATATTTTTTTTTTTTTTTTTTTTTTTTTAAATATACCCAAATGATAAATATTAAATCTTTTTTTTTTTTTTTTTTTTTTTGCAAATTATGGTATACATAATAGAGCATTAATTATATAATATTTTAATTTTAATGTAGTAGTGTAGAGCGTACAAATTATAGTAAATTAACGTTAATTAAGATATTTTTGTCGACCTAAGTGGTCGACCAGAGTGGTCAGGTCTGCGCACATATCATGTGGAACACATTGTTGTGCGACTCATGCATATGCATATGCATGTGGAGCATCAAATAGCATAAAATCTCAGCAAAAACTGTCATGCATTAACTTTTTAATAATATATTATCGCAGCATTATCAATGACATTTACATTATTTGTATAATTTAATGATATAATATATATATATATATATATATATATATATATATATATATATATATATATATATATATATATATATATATATATATATATATATAATATCCACGTGAGGTAAAAAAAGTAACGTTAAGTGTGCATAAATCAATTCACACAAAAAAAAAAATTACTAAAATGTTTTAATTGAAAATTGTGCAAAGAAAGTCTTTATATTACTCCTACAATGAAAGCTTTTTAAAAAATTGAATTGTACTTATACTAATGTAAATCTACATATTTTTTTAATCAGATAAAATTTTTATTTTTTAACTTGATGAGTATATTTTGATAATCAATTCTTATTAACTTATTATCCATTTAAAGTATATATTATATTAAATTATATACGGAGAATTCAAATCCACTTCGACGGGGTACAAATTAAAAGCAGACTTACATACTACTCATATTAATATCGATCTAAAGAATGATCAAGTAAAATATTAATTAAAATATGAATTAATTTATCCAACATTACTTCCGAGCTAGCTAGATAGTTGAAGTCATGTGTTTCTTAATAGGTTAACAGAACATGCGTGGTGGTTGATGTCATTAATTCCATCTTTTACATATACACACTTTGTTGGGGTACTATGTATAGTATATATTATTATTGTAAGTAATAAACAGCAAATTTAATTGTCTTAATGGATGGATGCATGTTTAGCGTGGAGGATGATCGGAGGGTGGTGGTGGCGTCTGGTTTCGTCTGTTGTGTGATATAAAGGAATATAGGTCGAAGGAGGCCCCATAAGCCCATGCTTTATGCCAAAATGTCTTCTTCTCTAAATACTTTACAATCGAGTGTGGCAGACAAAAAATAAAGGGCACCTCAGCTCAACGGCACAAAAGTTATGTGAACACAAATCTCAGATTCTGGGTCTCACAAAATTAATGTTACTTCATTCCATGTATATGCACATGCTCGCCTACATCTTCATTATATATATATATATATATATATATATTAACATGCTTACATGCACACAGGGCACACTGCCAACCATTTCTGGGATTAGCTCGTGCACACATTAACATACTTACATGCACACAGCGCGTAGGAGGAAAAATTATAACCATCCATCAAATCTCGTGCACGCATTAACACACTTACATGCACACAGCACGTAAGAGGAAAAAATCATAATCATCCATCAAAGCTCGTGCACACATTAACATACTTACATACACACTGGGCACACTATCAATAATATCTGTGATTAGCTCGTCCACACATTAATATACTTACATATACACAATTTGTATTTTAAGGGTGATTTGTATTTGAAAATAATCATATATATATATATATTCTGGCATGCATAATCCATCTTTTTTTTTTTTTTTTTTTTTTTAGGTTATTACAAGGAAAACCAGCAAGTACAATACGCACTCATAACTGATCAGCACAAATAAAAAATATTATATTAATAGATTCTTTTTGCTAAGAGTTAAAACTTTAATTTTATAATTATTACGAAATCGCTAATTTGGTTGAGTTGTCCCGTATATCTTAACTATATTGCTGCATGCACTATTGCACTACATACACTTTTTGAATACTCAGAATTGGCATGTGATCTCCCTGCTTTGTAGGTAAAAGTGGTTTACGTACTGTACTATTCATGACTTATATTTGACTCTATATATGAACGAACGTACTAGGAATTCAAAACATATATGAGGGTGTATTTGGTTCCCACGTGGGAATCGAAATTTGAATGAGAATCAAATATTTAGTAATAGTAATGGGTTTTGGTGAAAGTATTTTGCATGTTTGGTAGTAAGGTAAAATTGGAATGATTACTAATATTGTTCCGTTGTTTGGTTATGTATGATCTATAATGGGAATAAAGATTTTAAAAATACAAGAATAAAAAATCAAGACAAGTTATGTATAATCCCAATATAGCATCACGAGTTTTTATTAATTGCACAATGTATAAGTTATTATTACTCTGTATTACATAAAGATATTTGAGTCTTTATTGTTGATTTTGTACAATAGTAAAAGTCTAGAGGCCGGGAGAGTAATTTATAGTAGTTTAGGGATTCCATACCCCATTATTTTCCTGAGCTCAATGAAGGATTTCAATATGTATTGTCCATGCATGGTTACAAATACAAGTGACTTGAAGTCTTTCTTCACAACTACTAGTGCTACTTACTTCTCTCTTTGACAATACTTCGATGAGTTGGATCTAAGTAACGAGCTCGATCCGCATCAACTTAACTTTCACTACCTGAACAATCTTTTATATTACAAGGACCAACTACCAAGTCACCTTGCATGCTCATATGATCTTTCAACACCTTCCTAAAAAAGAGATGGTGGATGTTTTGGGGGTTAGAGTGCCTTAGCTTTTTAAATTTTTATTGTAAGGTCTTAACTTCACTACTTGTTTAATTTGTTCTGAATTTAGGGTCTTCCTTTTATAGATGATTGGACTAAGTAGCAACTGTCGAAAAAGTTATCACAATTCCTATTTGCGCTACAATTATCCATTGGATAAAGATCTCTAATTCTATAAGAATACTAATGAATTCAATGAGAGAGTTAATTGGAGAAATTTAGGAGTTAGGAGGAGTGTGTAGTGTATACTTTACTCTTTTGTTAATCTATTCCCGTGATTATATATTTTGCGTCTTTCTTTATTAGGATTGGGCCGCCGAAATCTATCATTGGGTCATTTCTATATGGACTTAATTGTGTAACTCTAAACCTTGGAATAGTTTATTTACTTGTGTTTGAGTATGATTTCCCTAACCAAATAAAACTAAGAGACCAACTCTAATGGCCCATTTGGTTGAGAATTTCGATCTTTTACTATGTTTAGTTGCTCAGAAATCTCACTAATTTCTTTTCTACTAATCAAACAATTAAATATGAAATTTATCTTTATTCATTTTTATGGAATTTAAAACCTGTTACATATAACATACCTACTTTTTTTTTTTTTTTTTTAATTTTTTTTGGAACCTATGCTTAGTGTAACAATTCCCATTTTAACTTAAAAAAAAAAACATTTAGTTAAAGAAATGATTAATATTTGCAATGACACAAGTTGATAGATAGCACCCCTTTTCTATCAAAATTTATTCTTATGTTATACTTACTATTACAAAACTTAAATTACACCCTCAAATTATATATGCTTCCCAATCTATCAACAAAGGCTACGTACCCACCATGCAAATTAAAATAAATCAATTCAATCTATCTGGGAATTGTATTTGGGAATTCCAGATGCAATTTCACGTGAAAAGTTGCATGCAACTCATCAGTCTGTGCAAAAACCGCAAGGCCACGAGCAAACGCGAACGACCCAGTCCCACCCACAACGCTAAGCTTCTCCTCCTCTTTATCTTTGTGTTCCAAATTCTCGGCCTGGATGCTGAGGCTGCCGGAGAATTGGCCGGTGTGGACGGTGAGATATATGATGTTAAAGGCGGAGTGCGCGAACCGCTCTAGCGGGACGATGAAGCCCTGCGCTTTTCCGACCACTCGGGAGGTGTTCTCCGGCCCCTCGGTGAGGATGCGGTGGAAAATCAAGGCCCCGGCGGCGGCGGCGCTTGCGGCAGGCGCGGCCGTGTAGGAAATATTGGGTTGTTGGATGTAAAGGGAGAGGGCGAGCATAGGGGAGTTTGAGTTTGAGGGGTGGTTGTTTTTGTGTGGGATTGGTGAGAAGAGTGCTAGGAGGAGTACTGCAATGGCAGCCAAGAAAACTGCAGTGCAGAATATGATCTTTGAGAGCATAATACCTAATATCTATCTGTATTGATCGGATCGATGTTGTGTGGGATTCGTTTCAGGAATTTAGAATCTGCAATTGTAGAGTGGATTGTCATTATTGCAGTTCCTTTTGAAGGGTTTTTTTTAAGTCCAATTTAGTGGTTTTGGCTAACTAATCCATCTTTGGATTTTTTGCACCTAAACCATATATATTTTTAAGGTTTAATAATATTATTATTAGAAATACAAAATGTCAAATTTGTTGTATGTACTTCTAGGCTCCTGCAAATTATATTTAATGAATCTCAAATTCTAATTCTTCACTTTTATTTCATGGCAAATAAGAATATGATATGATTATTACGTGAGTCTAAAAAAAGTGTCAATATCAAGATTTTGTGGGAATAAGAGCTGGAAGCTAAGTAAGAAATGAAAATCTAAATAGTATTTTTCTTATTTAATTCAGGGGTGAATTCTCCAAGTCTAACTTACCACCTCCAAAACCCAATATGGTAGCTCAAGTGGCAAATGAGTTCTCTTTGCTGGAAAGAATTTTGAAATATTCCAAATTCAATATTCACAAGTAACGATTCCTTTTGGGCTAGCTTTTGTGCCTCTAGAAGTGAACCGAGTGGAAAGACCCGGATGATAATACCACTATGCAGCTCTCTCAATCCATGACCAAGAAGACGAAACCCTCGAGCATGTTTTCAGGCGGTGCGACAAGCTTACGGTGATTTTGTGGTTTTATATCAATCAATGCTCTTTACCTTAGCTTCATCGTCTGATTGTTTGATTGCCCTCTGTTATCACCCGAAATATTAACATGGTGTTTGTGTCGTTATATTGTTAGATGAGATGATCAAATTAAAGTTGATCCAGTCCAGAAATTAGAAGTGATATATCAGTTTCAGAAAGAAAGAAATTAAAGAATGAATAGAATAGAAGTAGATTCAGGAAGATACTTGTCATCATTGGGATCAATTAATGTCCTGAAGAAATGTCGAGAAACAGAATATGGTACTCCTAGGAAAAACATTGACATGCAAAAAATTTTCTCTTATATATGCTAATATCGATCCCGCAAGAGGTGCATGTCATGCTTGTTACATTTTATGGCTATGCGAACGTATCCCCTCTTTGTAGCCATAAGCAGACTTCGCTAGCTAATAAGATCTTCATGTGCAACTTGTGCCATAGTTTTTCCCTCAATTACCAATAAATTAAATACCCCTCAGCAACCAACAATCTGATTATTCGTGAGAGTTAGTTGGGACTGAAATCTTATCATTTTTTGGGAATTGAAAGCCCTAATATAAAGGAAGCAAGTCTTCAAATTCTGAAGAACAACAAAATTCGGGAAATGATGGTCTTACTGTGCGTGAGGGGAAGAAACATGTTTGGTTTGTATGGAAATAGTGATTTTGTTTTCCATTAAAGATGAACCGAAAAATTCAGGAAATGATAGATGGCCTTATTCTTAAAATCCAACCTGCCCATAATGTTAGTCACAATTTTTCTTTTCTTTATTTGTAAACCCAAAATTATCTTATACGGAGTAGATAGTTCATAGTAGTATAGTACACAGCGTATGCATTTAGGGGGCATTATATTTGGCTCAATTCACAGAATGTTATATTACCTATGTGGTATTTGATTCAAAAAATAAAAACAAAGGGAAAAGAATAAAATTCCAACCTGAATGGAATAAGAAAGAAATAGAATATAAATACTATTCTACTATTTGGTTCATAAGAGGAATAAACATGAGATTATATATATGAAGAATTATATTCTTATGTTTGGTTGGACAATTGAATAGAAAAAGAATATCATTTAAATAACCAAAATGTCCCTACTCAAAATAAAACATATATAAATATATACATACCCACCGTCTCACCCACCACAAAATAACAAAATGCAAAACATAGGCGAATCTTGGTGGAAACTTCGTTGCTTATGTATCAAATATAAGGATTAAATTGAACAAAACACTATAATATAATTAAGACTATGTGGTCTAATGGTACCCGGGTTGAATTTACATTTGAAAGGTTGTAAGTTGGAGTCGTTCTTTGTGTTTCAGCACAAATTATATCGTGCAACGACTGTATTAAGATGATGGTGGCTAGCAAAAATATGCCCCACACGTTTTATTTTTATTTTTATTTTATTTTTGTGGTTCGTGACTTCGTTCTTGCTCAAAAAAAGTCCGAAGTCGCTTCTTTCACTCTTGAAACTTGAAACTGAGCGGAAAACATATTCGGGTAGGAATCAGTTTAATGAAATCCGATTCCCAATTCCAATCAATCCTCTAATCATCCAAGTAAGATCTTTGTGCAATATATTTAAGTAATTACAGCTATGTTTGTTTAGTTGGAATCCATTTCCATGTTATACTAGCTTACTGTGATTTTGTGGTTTTATATCAATCAATGCTCTTTACCTTAGCTTCATCGTCTGATTGTTTGATTTCCATATGTAATCACCCGAAATATTAACATGGTGTTTCTGTTGTTATATTGTAGATGATCAAATTAAAGTTGATCGAGTCCAGAAATTAGAAGTGATATATCAGTTTCAGAAAGAAAAGAAAGGCAGAGATGGCGGATTATGCTGCAGTTGTTTCGCTTATAAATAGACTAAATTCATCTATTGAGTTGGTGGGTCGCTTCAGTTCGGAATGTAGTGCCTTTCTTCAAGATTTCAAGCAATCTGTTTGTTTATTGGAAGCTTTTCTCAGAGATCATCCACCCTTGAACAAGAATGACCGAAAGCAAATACAAGTTCTGGCACAGAAAACTGAAAATTTGATTGACTCACCTACATCAGATATCTATTTGGGATATCGATCAAGGGTGTACAAGATGAAAAAGAAATTTGATCGTCTGACTGAAACGAAGTGGCAATACGAGTGTTCTACTATGTGCACCAGTGTTTTCACTGCAGGCCATTCTTTGTGTTCTAGTACCTCTCGGAACACTATGCCATCAGAGACTAACCTTGTGGGCTGCGATGATGACTTGATTAAAATTAAAGAGCAACTAGTTGGAATCACATATAGTTTGAGTATTTTTTCAATTGTGGGTATGGGTGGGATCGGAAAAACCGCTCTCACTAGAGCAGTTTACGATGATTCTTACATTGAGCATTACTTTTATATCCGTTCCTGGATAGCTGTATCTCAAGGGTATGAGGTAAGAAAAATGTTGCTTGGCATCTTGAGCAGTGTTTCCAATTCCGCTGATGAATTGTACAGAGAAAGCAATGAGCAATTAGCAGAACAGCTTTACCGGAGGTTGAAAGGTAGAAGGTATCTCATTGTTTTGGATGATATATGGGATATAGAGGCATGGAATGTCATCAAGAGATCTTTCCCAGATGACAATAATGGTAGCCGGATCATTTTCACTAGTCGGCATACAAACATTGCGAGCCATGTCAATACTAGGAGTCTTACTCATGACATGCATCTCTTAAACATGGACCAAAGTATTAAGTTACTATCTTTGAAGGTGTTAGGAACAGAATCATTCCCTCTTGAACTTGAGAATGTCGGAATACAAATTGCGGGCAAATGTCAAGGATTGCCACTTGCGATTATTGTAGTTGCTGGCATTTTGGTTAAGATGAACAAGACAGCAGAGAGTTGGGAGGATGTTGCAAAGTCTGTTGGTTCATTTCAAAATAATGGAAGTTCAGAAGAATGGTTGGATGTGCTTTCTTTGAGTTACAATTACCTACCTCAGCATTTGAAGCCTTGCTTCCTATATATTGGGGCTTTCCCAAAAAATGATGAGATTTCTGTCCCAAGAATAATCAGATTGTTAGTTGCTGAGGGGTTTTTATTGGTATTTGAGGGAAAAACTATGGAAGAAGTTGCAGAGGAATACTTGGAAGATCTTATTAGCAGAAGTCTGCTTATGGCTACAAAGAGGGGATATGATGGCAGAGTTATAAAATGTAACATGCATGACCTCTTGCGGGATATTAGCATAAGAGAATCTGAAAGAGAGAATTTTTTGCATGTCAATGTTTCCCCAGGAGTACCATATTCTGTTTCTCGACGTTTCTTTTGTCAGGACATTGATCCGGATGATGACAAGTATCTTCCAGAATCTGCTTCTATTCATTCTTTCCTTGGCTTTGGTAGAGTTCGAACTCTTATTAATTTTTCTTTAATGCTGAGAGTGTTGGATCTCTCTTTTCAGCCTTTTAATAGATTCCCAGTGCAAATTTTATATTTAGAATCTCTGAGGTATCTGGCGCTAGCTTCGTTTGATGACCTTCCCCCAACACTTTCTTTACTTCGTCATCTACAGACACTGATTCGTCACTGCCATGAGGCAACACTAATTCTTCCAGTAAACATATGGAAGATGAAAAGATTAAGGCATCTCTATTTTAAAAAGAGCTGCAGGTTACAAATTTTAGATTCAAGTCATTTATTGAGATTCGACGAAGAAAGTCATTTATGTATGCCAAAGCTACAGACACTCTCAAATTTAAGTTTTGGCAGTTGTTCTGAGGAAATTTTAACACGTATTCCTAATCTGAAGAAGTTAGGACTTCGTGAAGATGAAGGGGAGCAACTGAGTAATGAAAAATTACTATATCATCTAAATAATCTCAAATTCTTACCCTACCTTGAGACATTGAAGTGTTTCTTTACTAAACAAAGGCCACTTCCAATGCCTGATGCTTTTCCACCTAATCTCAAGAATCTGACTTTGCGGGGGTGCCGCCGATCATGGAAAGAAATGTCGATTCTAAGTGCATTACCAAAACTTGAGGTGCTCAAATTGAAGGATTGTGCATTCATAGGATCAGAGTGGGAACTCATGGAGGAACAAGTCTTTTGTCAACTGAAAGCCATGGTGATAGATATTGCAGATCTTGAGCAGTGGGAAGCTTGCAGCAGTCACTTTCCCAATCTTCAATCTCTTGTCCTCAAATATTGCAAACACCTGAAGGAGATCCCCATTGGTATTGGGGATATAAATACTTTGCAGTTGATTGAATTGTGGGCATGTAGCTCTTCTGCAAATGATTCTGCAGAAATGATTCACGAAGAACAACAAAATTCAGGAAATGATGGACTTACTGTCAGAATCCACCGTGTTCACATTCGTAAGTGGCAGTCAATCTTTTCTAAATTTGTTGCTGTGAGCTTTTCTTGGATATAACTTTTATCATGTCCCTAACTAGTACTAATAAATGTTTTTCATGGCAGATGAATGGCATAATAATCCTCCGTGCTCCTCATCAGTAGAGAATTCTGAAGGGGAAATATAAACTCTGAAATAGTCCTGATGACTTGAATCTAGGTACACACTATTTTCTTCAGCATTCTTTATGCATTTAGTAGGAAATGTTAACTAAGGATTTTGGAAAACTTCCATTTTGATCTGCCTCTGAGCTAGATTGAAAGCTTTAAATAATTTTTACTTGTTGCAATTCAAAATTCTACCCAAGTCTAAAAACCTGTCTTTGTAATTTGTTACCATTTAAGGATTGAACAGAATTGACTTAAAGTGTTGAGGCTCAGTCATTCCAATCAGCGGAAGGCCCTAGTTTCAAGCTCAAGTTTAAGTAAACTTCCCCGACATTACATTTAGCATTGAACTTAGTATAAAACATAAAAATATTTCTAGTGTACATTACACAGACCAGAGTGCTTATTTTCATAGAATGATTGGAAAGCATCAACCTTAGGAAAATGCAGTGTGATGATCTTGTAGCATAACAATCTCCCAACAGGGAACCATCAGGGTTCAGTTTCTTTCTGAATCAACTAACCATTGGCATATATTCTTGATTCTCTGCAGGAAGAATTTCCTAACATTTGTTCAGCTTACCACGGATTTCCACTCCAGTGACAACAATATTTGGGAAATGATGGCCTTACCGTCAGAATCCACAGTGTTTACAATGTTAAGTGGCACTGTGGCAGTCTCCTCTCAATTCGTTGTCCCAAATTTTGTATGATATAACTCATATTATGTCCCAACATCTTACAAATAAATGTCTTTTGTAGCAGATGAATGACATACTTAATCCTCTGGGATCCATTTACTCATCGGCAGAGAGTTCTGCAATCTGGAAATATGAACTCAGAAGTAGTCGTGATGACTTGAATCTTGGTATGTGCTATTCTCTTCAACTGACATCATGGGTGCAAATAGTAGGAAATATTAAAAACTCAGGATTCTGGAAAGCTTCCATTTAGATCTGCCTCTGAGCTAGGTTAGTTATTGAACGCTTTGAATAATTTTTACTTGTAACCATTCACAGTTCACCATTGTATCCCAGTCTAATCAGCTCCTTTTTTTAGGTGCCGAGAGAAATTTGTAGCCACTATCCGAGTTTGTGCATTGGGAAAACCTCACTTTGTGACCCTAGTTGGCAAACAACCACAAGGAAGTAAATCAGCCTAGGTTGCCCATAGCTTTCTGACTCAAACCAAGAAGGCCAATGGGCACCTCCTGGTGACAACTTTAATTATCATTGAATGTAATTATTTTTCTTTTTTCTTTTCCTTTTAAATACAAAAATTAAATTTTTTAATTTCTATTTCTTCCTTTCACTTCATCATCTTCTTTATACATTGTTAATGGTAGATGACACCAACTAATAGCCACTGCACAAAAACTAATGAATCTGTAGAAAAGCTACAAGAGGTGAATCTTGGTGGAAACTTCATTGCTAATGTATCAATGTTGTCTGGTTGTAACATATGACTGGAAACATCATTAGAGGTGAAATTCCTAGTGAGAACAGTAACATGAGACTATTGCTACCTAGATATTAGCAAGCATTTATTACAAAGGAAAAATTTCTTAGCAATTGGGCCCTCTAATTTGTCTCCTCGGGAAAGAGTCAATGTGTCCAACTGTCCATGACTTTGTCAAGATAACTATTTTTCTTCATGACTAACTGTTGGAATCAGTTTGATAAACTCCAATTCCCAATTCCAATCAATCCTCTAATCATCCAAGTAAGACGGTTGGTGTTTCTTTGTGTAACCTTTGTTTAGTTGGAATACATTTTATAATAGCTAGTGTGATTTTCTGCTTTTAATTTCTTTCAGTGGTCTGTTTTGCATGCATTTGTTATTACTCGAAAAGTGAATACGGTATTTAATTTGTGTCTGTTATATTGCTAGATCTAAAGTTGATAGAGTCCAGAAATTAGAAGTGAGATATCATCTATCAGTTTTAGAAAGAAAAGAAAGGTGGAGAGGCAAAAAGGGAGATATGGCCGCTTATGCTGCAATTGTTTCGCTTATGAATGCACTGAATGAATATATGCGTTTCAACCTTACTGAGTTTCTTCTTAAATATAAGTGGGATGAAGATAGAGAAGCACTGGAAAGTGTGTTCCCAGCAGCAAACAGGGAGGATGGCTTACTTCCCAATATTGATTCGCTTATCCATAGATTGGATGAGTTGATGAATTCCCTGCAGCAATTCAAGCCACATGACTGCCCTCAAAAATATGTGGAATTTCTTTCTCATTATAACTTGAATTTTCCTAGAGAAGCACTGAGAAATTTCTGTCAACCATTAAAATTAAACCTGCCAAATCAGGAAATCACAAATAAAAGCAGGGATTGTTATCAACTGCGGCCTGGGGCTTGGATACAATTAGATGACTTCCTAATCCGTCAATGTCATATTGAAAATTTGAAGCAATCTGTCTGTTTAGTGGAAGCTTTTCTCAGAGACCATCCACCCACGAACAAGAATGATGGAAAGCATATACTACTTCTGGCTCAAAGTGCTGAAGCTTTGATTGACATGATCAATGAATCTGAATCTGAATCCCTATCTCACTCAATGTTGTACAAGATGCAAAAGGAATTTGTGCATGTGACTGAAAGGATGTGGCAATATGAGTGTTCTACTACATGTACCAATGATTTCACTGCAGGACATTCCTTGTGTTCTAGTCGCTCTTGGAGCACTTTGCAGGTGGAGACTAGCCTTGTGGGCTGTGATGATGACTTGATCAAAATTAAAGAGCAACTAATTGGGTTCACAAATAGTTTGAGTATTGTTTCCATTGTGGGTATGGGTGGGATCGGAAAAACTGCTCTCACTAGAGCAGTTTATGATGATTCTTATATTGAGCATTACTTTTATATCCGTTCCTGGATAGCTGTATCTCAAGGGTATGAGGTAAGAAAAATGTTGCTTGGCATCTTGAGCAGTGTTTCCAATTCCGCTGATGAATTGTACAGAGAAAGCAATGAGCAATTAGCAGAACAGATTTACCGGAGGTTGAAAGGTAGAAGGTATCTCATTGTTCTGGATGATATATGGGGTATAGAGGCATGGAATGATGTTAGAAGATCTTTCCCAGATGACAATAATGGTAGCCGGATCATTTTCACTAGTCAGCATGCAAACATTGCAAGCCAAGTCAATACTAGGAGTCTTACTCATGACATGCATCTCTTAAACATGGACCAAAGTATTCAAAATTTCTGAGGTATCTGGCAATAGCTTCGTTTAGTGAGCTTCCTCCATCACTGTCTCAACTTTGTCATCTACAGACATTGGTTCGTCATTGCCATGAGGAAAGACTGGTTCTGCCAGTAAGCATATGGGAGATGAAGCAATTAAGGCATCTCCATTTTAAGAAGAGCTGTAGCTTACTATTTCCTGAAGCGAGAGGGTTACAAGAAATTCAATTATATTTGCCAAATCTACAGACACTCTCAAATTTAAGTTTCGGCAGTTGTTTTGAGGAAATTTTAACACGTCTTCCTAATCTGAAGAAGTTAGGACTTCGTGAAGAGGAAGGGGAGCGACTGAGTGATGAAAAATTACTGTATCATCTAAATAATCTCAAATTCTTACCCTCCCTTGAGACATTGAAGTGTTTCTTTACTAAACAAAGGCCACTTCCAATGCCTGATGCTTTTCCACTGAATCTCAAGCAGCTGACTTTGCGGGGGTGCCGCCGATCATGGAAAGAAATGTTGATTCTAAGTGCATTACCAAAACTTGAGGTGCTCAAATTGAAGGATTGTGCATTCATAGGATCAGAGTGGGAACTCATGGAGGAACAAGTCTTTTGTCAACTGAAAGCCATGGTGATAGATATTGCAGATCTTGAGCAGTGGGAAGCTTGCAGCAGTCACTTTCCCAACCTTCAATTTCTTGTTCTCAAATATTGCAAACACTTGAAGGAAATCCCCATTGGTATTGGGGATATAAATACTTTGCAGTTGATTGAATTGTGGGCATGTAGCTCTTCTGCAAATGATTCTGCAGAAAGGATTCAAGAAGAACAACAAAATTCGGGAAATGATGGTCTTACTATCAAAATCCACCGTATTCCCAATGGTAAGTGGCAGTCAATCTTTTCTAAATTTGTTGCTGTGAGCTTTTCTTGGATATAACTTTTATCTTGTTCCTAACTATTACTAATAAATGTTTTTCATGGCAGATGAATGGCATACTAATCGTTTGTGTTCCTCGTCAGCAGAGAATTCTGAAGGGGAAATATAAAATCAGTAATAGTCCTGATGACTTGAATCTAGGTACACACCATTTTCTTCAGCATCCTTTATTATGCATATATATATAGTAGAAAATGTTGAACTAAGGATTTTGGAAAACTTCCATTTAGATCTGCCTCTGAGCTTCATTGAAAGCTTTGAATAACTTTTACTTTTGTTACCATTCTACCTGAGTCTAATATCCTGTTTTTGTAGTTTTTCCAATCAGTGCTAACTGTTAAGGCAGTCTTTCCAATCAGTGGAAGCCCCTGGTTTCAAGCTCAAGTTTAAGTGAACTTCCAATTAGCATTGAATTAGTATGGAGTATTAATAAAATAAATACTACATTTGTAGTGTAGATTACAAAGTCGTGTGACTATTATCATAGAAATAGTGATTTTGTTTTACCATGTAAATATTTTCTTGGAAGATGCACGTGTTTTTCTAGTCCGCCATCGCTCAAACTTGAAACCTTACTAAGGTCATTGATCAACTTGTCTGGAGTTGCTCTTGTATCAATTATATGCACACCAATATAAACGGAGTTTATATTAGACTTTGACTCCTCGTTTCTCTTATTTTAAATGCATGGGTATCACCCTCCTTTTCTTTAAAAATATAAACGGAGTTTCCTTGTATATCACTTCAAAGGCAAAATATATAATAGCGAATAATTAAGGATGTGTTTGGTTCGCACATGGAAATCGAAACTTGTTGAACCAAGCAAGGCAACTAATCTGTTCTTAAGACTTAAAGCAGTTTTTGTGATCGGCTTCTCGCTGTCAAGTCACAGTAAAATTGATTGGGTAGGGTGGTCGATTGTGGACAAGAAACATAACTTTTTGAAATAATAAAATAAAGCAAAATATCATTTGGGTAAATAACCAAAATCATTTTATTCAATTTGATCCACTTTGGTCTATTTAATTTGTTAAAGATAACTTTGCATTTATTAATTAAAGAGTAAATATCTAAAATGGTCCCTCGACTATAGCTAAATTCACAAATTAGTTCTCGACTTTCAATTTCAACCAATTAAGTCCTTAACTTTGTAATTTTGACACGATTTGGTCCTCTATCTATTTGACCATTTGTTGACCATGATCGACAATCTCCAGAAGAACCTTCAGCTCTCGTCGGAGCACGTGGAAGCCTCCAGGATGACGTTGCACTGGTTCGGAAACACGTCGTCTTCTTCGCTCTGGTACGAACTCAACTACATTGAATCCAAAGGGAGGATGAAGAAAGGCGACCGAATTTGGTAGATTGCTTTCGGCAGCGGATTAAAATGTAACAGTGCGGTTTAAAAATGCAATCAAAACCTTAAAAAATCGACGATGAACCATGAAATTACATATATATCCTCAAAAATCACAGTCAACAAACGGTCAAATAGACAGATGACCAAATTGTGTTAAAATTATAAAGTTAAGGACTTAATTGGTTGAAATTGAAAGTCGAGGACCAATTTGTGAATTTAGCTATAGTCGAGGGACCATTTTGGATATTTACTCTTAATTAAATTAGATAAAAATTAAATAGTTGAGAATTTAATTAAATAAAATTAATACTTCGCAATTGAAAACTAATTTGTAAATTATGACATAAATAATTGATGAACAATTTTGGTGATTTACTCTTTGTGAATATGTTTACTCGAGCAACACCAATCAAGCTGTTCAATGGTTTCTAAGAGAGAGATGTGTCATTTTCTTAAGGCCGGCCCCTTCTCTCTCTCTCTCTCTATCTCATTTGCTTGGCGGCAAAAAAAATATAAACTTGGATGTCATGTTATTTATATAATAAATAAAAAAGGTGTTTCTCTATCAAACTGTTATCCGCTGAAAGAAGATTTCTGTAATCCAATTTCAATCTATTCTTCAAGTAAGCAAAACTGTTGTTGTTTCACAGTATACTTTTTAGCTCATTTACAACTAATTCTTTTGATTCTACTGTGATTTTGGGGTTTTTTTTTGGCGGTCTTTACCTTGATCGTCTGATTGATTGATTGATTGATTCCCATCTGTTAATATGATATTTGTCTCCTTAATCGTTATATTGATTACCTGATTACTTGATTGTACAGTTGATTGAAGTAGAGTACTGATCGAGTCCAGAAATTACAAGGGAGAGATGGCAGTTTATGCCGCCATTGTTTCGCTTATACATACAGTGAATCAAGCTCTGCGTTACGATCCTATTGAGTTGCGTAACTATGCTTCGGAATATCGTGTCTTTCTTTCTCATTATATGTCGGATTTTCCTCGAGATAGAAAAGCGCTGGAGAGAGTCTTCGAAGCAGCAAACAAGGTGGACTTACTTGCAAAGAATTCCTTTCTGGAACGTCAAAAAGTAGATTTGTTTTGGAAAAGCATGAGTAAGTTCCTTTACTATTATCAACCATATGATTTCAAGGAATTTCTTTGCTTACTAGAAACTTTTCTCAAAGATCCTCAACTCATGAATGAGAATGATAAAAAACAAGTACAAACTCTGGCACATGAAGGTGAAGATTTGATTGACTTACTTATGTCAAACATGAAAATCATGTCTTTCCCAAATGCAAGGTTTAGGATATGCCTGATTGAAGAGGAACTTCAACAGCTGAGAGAAAGGACATGGCAATTTGAATGTGGTGCTAAATGTACAAATGATTTCGTTGCAGGCGATTCTTTGTGTTCTAGTTCCTCTTCGAGTACTTCGCATTTAGAGAATAACCTTGTGGGCTTCGATAACTACTTAATCCAAATCAAAGAGCAACTTACTGGATGCCAACTTGGATTAAGTATTATTTCCATCGTGGGTATGGGTGGGATTGGGAAAACAGCTCTTAGTAGAGTAGTTTATGATGATCCTTCTATTGAGGATCACTTTTATATCCATGCCTGGATAGCTGTATCTCGAGGGTATGATGTAAGAAAAATGTTGCTTGGCATTTTGAACAGTGTTTCCCATTGCACTGATGAAATGTACGAAGAGAGCAATGAGCAATTAGCTGAACAACTCTATCGAAGCTTAAAAGGTAGAAGGTATCTCATTGTTTTGGATGACATATGGAATATAGAAGCATGGGATGATGTTAGAAGATCTTTCCCAGATGACAATAATGGCAGCCGGATCATTTTCACTAGTCGGTATACAAGCATTGCCAGCGATGTCTATAATAGGAGTCTTACTCTTGACATGCATCTTTTAAATATGGACCAAAGTTTGAAGTTACTATCTTTGAAGGTGTTTGGAACTGAATCTTTCCCCCCTGAACTGGAGAATGTCGGAAAACAAATTGCAGGCAAATGTCAAGGATTACCACTTGCAATTATTGTAGTTGCTGGCATTTTGGTTAAGATCAACAAGACACCAGATAGTTGGGAGAATGTTGAAAAATCCCTTGGTTCATTTCAAAATGTTGGAAACTCAGAAGAATGCTTGGATGTCCTTGCTTTGAGTTATAAGTACCTACCTCAGCATTTGAAGCCTTGCTTCCTATATATTGGGGCTTTCCCCAAAGATGATGAGATTTCTGTTATGAAAATTATCAGATTATTGGTTGCTGAGGGATTTTTAAGGGAAATTGAGGAAAAAACCTGGGAAGAAGTCGTAGAGGATTATTTGGAAGATCTGATTAGCAGAAGTCTACTTATGGCTACAAAGAGGGGATATGATGGCCGAGTCATAAAATGTAGCATGCATGACCTCTTACGGGATTTGAGCATAAGAGAATCTCAAAGAGAGGAATTTTTACATGCCAGTGTTCCCCTAGAAGAACCATATTCTGTGTCCCGACTTGTCTTTTATTCTGATGTTGATTGGAATGATTACAAGGACTTGCCAAAACCTTCTATTTGTTCTTTCATTGCCTTTGGCAGAGTTCAACAGCTTAATGGTTTTGAAATGTTGAGAGTGTTGGATATTTCTTTTCAGTCGTTTATGCGTTTCCCAAGTGAAATTTTATGTTTAAAAATTCTGAGATATCTGGCTATAGGCTTGTTTAATGATCTTCCTCCATCATTCTCTGAACTTTGTCGACTACAGACATTGATTCGATGGTGCAATGGAGCATGCCTAATTCTACCAGAGGAAACATGGAAGATGAAAGAATTAAGGCATGTCTATTTCAAAAAGAGCAGTCACTTTCCAGTTCCTGGAACAAGAATGACATGGTATGGAGAAAGACATTGGGACTTGCCAAAGCTGCAGACACTCTCATATTTAAGTTTTGGAAGTTGTGCTCGGGAAATTTTAACCCAAGTTCCAAATCTGAAGAAGTTAGGGCTTCGTGAAGAAGAAGGCGAGTACCTAAGGGATGAACAGTTGGTATGTTATCTAAATAATCTCAAAGTCTTACACTGCCTGGAGAAATTGAAATGTTTCTTTACTAAACAAAGGCCACTTCCAAGCCCGGATGCTTTTCCACCAAGTCTCAAGCAATTGTCTTTGCGGGGGTGCCAGCGACCATGGAAAGAGATGTCAGTTCTAAGTGCATTACCCAATCTCGAGGTGGTTAAATTGAAGGATTATGCATTCAAAGGGTCACAGTGGGAACTGATTGAAGAAGTCTTTTGTCAACTAAAAGTTATGCTAATAGATATTGCAGATCTTGAGCAGTGGGAAGCCAGCAGCATTAATTTTCCAAAGCTTCAATCTCTTGTCCTCAAATATTGCTCACACTTAAGGGAGATCCCCATTGGTTTTGGAGAGGTATATACTTTGCAGTCAATTGAATTGTGGGAATGCAACTCTTCCACTTATGATTCTGTGGACAGAATTCGAGAAGAACAAGAAGATTCTGGAAATGACGGCTTTACTGTTAGAATCCACCGTGGTCACAATGGTAAATCAGAGTCTTCCCTCAATTTTCTTGGAAATACTCCAAAATTCATATCAGATTCATCATGAATCTGCTTCTTTTTTTGAAGTTTTCTATTTGAGCAACAAACTTATTACTATGTTGTTTGTAGCAGATGAATGACATTCTAATCTTCCGGGCTCCGTCTACTTGCTTCCATTTCTACCTGTTGGTGTCTGCTGAGAATTCCAAAGTCTGGTAATATAAACTTGGTACCTGCAATTTTCTTCAATATCTGGTTCTTGATATCCTGTATACATATCACAGGAAATATAAACTATGGATTCTGTAAAACTCTGGAAGCTTGATTACTTTACTTGTTTCCCTTCACAGTTTGTGTAATCATTCTGATTTAAATTAGATGCTGAAAATTCCCTCCCTTATATCTGTATAAAGTCATATACCATTATAGCTATCCATTTAAGAAAGGGAAATAATCAAATTGAAGCTACTTCAGCTTCAAATCACAGCAAACATTACAATTAGCACTGATTGTAGTATTAGTATATAAAACATGAAAGTCTTTGTAGTTTAGTTTGCAAAGACTGATGTGTCTAAGATAATACGGTAGAAAGATTGGACAGGAAACATCATTCTAGGAAAGAACAAAATGAAGATCTTGTACTATGAAAAATTTATAATCTCCCATAAGATATTGAAAACTCGGTTTGCCAACAACCTTATACTGAGCATTTGATCCATTTGCTAATTGTGACCTTAGCTGGTAAATGATCACAAGAAGGAACCTTGTAATTTCGTACCAAGTAACTATCAGACCAAGATGTTGAATCTCTCACCAAACAACTCTCAAGTCACATCGCAGTACATGAAATCACTTTTTTATCACTAAATTAAAATAAAAATTAGAATAAGAGAAATCAAACTTAGAATCAATAAGGCAACTTGAAATTTTCCTCCTTCATGAACCTTAAGGCCGGTTTATGGAGTTCAACATATAGTATAGGAAAACGAGAAATTTAAATTATAACTTATAAAAAAGATTGATTAGAAGTGATAAAGACTCTCATGAACAGAGTGTACATGCAAAGGTGAAAACTGAGATTTAATTGGACGATTTGTGATTTATCTCTAGGAATATTTTTGAGTAAAAATTTTGAAAATTTAGAATTAATTTAGCTTAAACTAAGAAGGTTAATGTATATCAAACAAAAAATGCAATATGGTTGGCATTAAGCTTTAACTGACACTGCAACTGAAGTCGGTTCCCTGCTACCAGAATGTTCTTCCTCGAACCACGCGCTGCCCCGCTCCGCGTGAACTCAGATTCAAGTAATTCAACAATCTTCCATGTTTACCAAAACACCCCTTCCCATATTCAAATTTCTACGCTATTTAGAAGGACAAATTTGACTTTACACAACCGCCTCTGTGAAATGTGGAATCGAGCGCCAAAACCATAACAACAAACTCATATATCATATCCCCTCATTCCAAATTCCATTTTCTTCACTCTCAAGTCTCAAACTCTGAAGCCCCAATTCTTTGCAGGAATCAGAAAACCCCCTTCAATGGCTTCTACTCTGATCGAAGCCTGCAGAAAAAGGAGGAGAACACAAAGGCCGTTCCGGTTCGAGGAGTTCGCGATGCCGGGCACCATTGATGGCCTGAGCGGTGCTTTCAGAGAGAACATCCGGTTTTTTCTCCAGGAATTCGCGGTGCTTGAAGACTACATTGTTGCCGGGATGCCTCTCTGGTCCACTTGGTTCATCACCGCCAGTAACGGAGCCGTGTTCCCTCTCTACACCATTGAAGAAACCGTTCAGCACTCTCCCGAGCCCTTCTGCGATCATTGCAAATTCGCAGGTATCCGCTCGTTAACGTGCTTTTTTGTGAGTTTTTTTCTGTGGTGTTTTGAATTTGGTTTGTGGTTTTACTAGATTCGTTTGTTGATTTTGTGAAAATGCGTTTGAATTGTTTTGGAATTTGAGGTTGGGGTCACCATTATGTGTCAAAGAGACGGTACCACTTGATAATTCCAGCGAATGCTAACTGGGAAAAACCGTTGACCAGCAATTGTTTGGAAATTGGGAGTCATATACTGCACGCCTTGATTCACTGCAATGGGTATGGTCATTTGCTATGCATCAATGGTGTTCGAGAGGACTCACATTCTCTGCGAGCAACTCATTTCATGGACTTCTGGGATCGCCTTTGCACTGCCCTGAAAACCAGGTGAATTCTGCCTCTGACTTGTGATTTTTCATCATGTTCTCTTTATGTACTAGAAAATGTCAAGCTGAATCGATAAACATTTTGCAGGAAAGTCTCTGTGTTTGATGTTTCGATGAAGGGAGGGATGGAACTGAGACTACTTCATGGTGTCACTTATGGGATGTCTTGGTTTGGGAAGTGGGGTTACAAGTTTAACCGCGGAAGCTTTGGGGTAACAGAACAGAAATACAAGATTGCAATTGACTATCTGCAGTCATTAGGCCTTGATAAGATCCTCAATGATTTCAAGAAATCTCATTCAGGAAGAAGGAAAATCAAGCAAGTTATTGACAAGTACAGAGAAATGAGTGAAAACCCATTGATTACAATCAGTGAGCTCTTGCAATTCATGCTTTCTCTCAAGTGCAGAGCTTCAAATCAGAACAAAACCAAACTGGCTGAAGCTTATCATTGTTGTAGTTCTAAATCCAATTCACAGGACAATGATGCTAATCCTATGAATGCAAAGACATTCCTGAATATGCTAGTTAAGAGTGATTGCAGGTGGCCTGCCAGGAGGCTAGAGTTTGTGCTGGTTGTAATTGTGGATTTGCTGAAAGAAAAGAAGGCAAATGATAGCAGCGGAAATGCTAGCATGATGACTAGGCAAGAGCTGAGAGATGCTGCAAGAAAATGTATTGGTGACACTGGTTTGATTGATTTTGTGCTCAAATCCATCAGATGCTTTGCATTGGGCACTCATATTGTTCGCCGAACAACCAATCCAACCACTAAGTTATTGGAATTCACCATCGATGAAGCTGCTAAGGAAACAACAGAAGTAGCAAGGTTTCCATTTTTAGATGAAAATAATGAGTGCAGATGGGATGAAGGAAGGCTAAAACAGGCAGCAGAAGCTATAGTTGATATCCTGAAAACACATAATGGCGATGGTTCTATGTCAAGGCAAGAGCTCCGGGACAAGGTTAAAGATCGCGTTTGTGACACTGGACTCATAGATTTTTTGCTGAAATCAATGAACAACTCTGTGGTTGGGAATCAAGTTGTTTATCGTTCAAGAAACCCTTTAACAAAGAGGATTGAATTCCTTATTCATGATTTTGAAGACAGCAGCAGAGGTGAAGAAAGCATTGATATTTATGCAGATGTTAAGTTGTTATATGATAATGTGCTGCTTGGTTACCCCGGGTTGAATTCAGTCATTTCTGCAACTCAGGTTATCTTGGACAGCAAGCAGTTTGTGAAGGAATGGGTACCTCAGGATCAAGAAAACAGGATGGAAAACATGTCATTGACATGCCAACTCTTACCAAGTTTCCATGAGTTAGAGACTGAATTGACTCGGCCATTGTCACCCGGTGAAGTGGTAGTAGTCCCAGGATGCATCACAATAGGAGAGCTAAAAAAAGTGGCACAATCTGCACTAAGGGATACCTACTGCATCATGGAGAACTTTGTGGTAAAGCAAATTGGGGGCTTGAGGGGGATTGAGGATGAGAGGGTACTAATGTGCACTGTGAGTTCTGATGCACGTGTTTGGGTGAGGGGGTGTGGGTTGGACTTGGGCACTGAGATGAGGTATCAAGATGGGGCCCATAATTCAAAGGTGGAATGTGTGTGTGGGACCAAAGAGGATGATGGGGAGAGGATGGTGGAGTGTGATGCTTGCCAAGCATGGCAACACACAAGGTGCTGTGGCATTGATGATGATGAGGATGCACCTTCTGTGTTTCTTTGTGGGACTTGTGGTGGAAAGTGGTGATTTATTCATTGAAGTTAAGATAGGATTGAAGAAGAGACTAAGAGGATCTTTGAAAGTAATTAAGATTTATTTTTTGCTGTGGAAACAGGATTCAGTTGACTAAAGTATAATGATTTATATTTCTATTTGTTAATTGTCTTGTTATTGTAGAGCAAGTGTAATCATTGTTCTTTGTAAGTAACCATATGAAATGTCTTAATGAAATGTTTACACCATATTATTTTTCCAGCCAAACACCTTTACAGAATACAGTGTGACGTAAGAGTGTTTCTCTCTCTAGAATAAGTTCTCGTTCTCTTCAGGGAAAAATTCTCCTTCTCTCTAGAAGCCTTGTGTATTTTAATTTGAGTGACTATTCAATAACTGTTATTCTTTTGTCATGTCATTCTTTCTTTATAAATAAATCCAAATAGCTGTCATAAAAAATCTCAAACAATCAAAGATGATTCTATTAGAATATGAGGTGGTTGTTGGCAATTGTTCTTTTAGTCAAAGGTTGTTGGTTAACAATCTAAACAGTAATTTCCACCTTATAAGACTGCTACATACAACCATAAAACAGTAACCTGGAAATGTTACAAAGGGGACAAAAAGAAGAAGAATCCAATCACCTTCCATACTAACATATTTAAAATTTGATGAAATACATTTATTAAAGATCTGGAGGATAGATAAAGAGCTTAAAGCTATTGTTTACAATCCCTTCTAGCAACTGGCTATTTACCCTTTGGGTTTGGATGACCCTAGCAGAAGCTGCAGCAGATGGCAGGGGCCAGTAGAGCTCTAAATTTTGTAGTGAAGAAACTTCCCCAAGGCTAGACGGGATCCCGACTAGCTTTTCACAGTGTCTAAGGAGGACATGTTGAAGCCTAGGAAAGTGATGACTTGAAGCATTCCAGTACACCAAATCCGTCCGTCCAATATGCAGGACTCTGAGAAGGCGAAACGCTCCATCCAACGGTTCCCAATGAGTTCCCTTGAAAGCGTAGTCTTTCAGTTTTAGCACTTCAAGGTTCGGCAACATGCCTAGAGTAGATATATGTTGCCAATCCAGAAAGGTGTCTGACAAAGTTAGCTTCTTCAGGTTTGGGGGAAACTTATACCACTGGGGAAGACTTGGTATTTGACACTGAGATGGATGAAGTGGGAATGTGTCATTTAGCAACTTTAATGTCTCAAGGTGGTCCAATTTGGCAAGATTGTCAAACATAACTGACCCTCCATTTGTTGTCACTAGTGTCACTAACTTCCCTCGAATCCCGAGTTTTCTCAAACTAGGAGTCCTTGCAAGTATATTCTCTGTACAACAAGTAGGCGATACAGTGGAAATGGTTTGAATGTTTCTTCTCACAAATGGATCTTCATTGTCCTTGCGCGCTTGGGCAGGAGGTCCACAAAGGCAACTCAGGGCACTTGTATACAGGTGCCTAAACTGTGACATTTTCCAAATATCAACTTTGATGTCAAGCTCGCGGGACTTTGTTTCCACAATGAGTGTTTGAAGATTCCAAAGGTTAGAGATTGAAGCCGGGAGAACCTTGAAATTTCCCGAGATGGCGATGTACCTCAAGTGAACCAATTGTACAATCTCATTAGGAAAGCGTGAGAAACTAATGCACCTTAGGTCCACTACTCTCACCAATCTGAAGGCTTCTTGGATGAATGATGTATGCTCGCGAGGCAAGTCCACTTCTTCCGAGGCAAAACACATAAAGGAGCGAACGTGAGGCCTATAAGGCTTTGAAGAAACGAAGTCCAAGAAATGGGAATGAACACACAACCGACGATTATAACTTGGAATTGAACTTAGAGAATGGTTTTCTGTCGAGCTTTTGATCACCTCTAGAAATCTCTCCTCTGCACCCATTTTCACACACAGATCACGCAACATATCATGAATGCGACATGTTTTAATCCTTCCATTTGCCCTCTTATTCGCAATCAAAACTAAATTTCTATCAACAAGATCCTCGAGATATTCATATGCAGTATATTCTAAGCATTCCTGACCCAAATGCTGAATCAATCCCTCGGCAATCCATAACTTGAGTAATTTCCAAACTAGGATCTCAAAGTCTTCGGGGAAAACCCCAAAGTAGATGAAGCAGACTTTCAAGTGATCTGGTAGGTGCTTGTAACTTAGTGCTAGGATATCCATACACTCCTTTGGATCTCGAGCAACATACGAACTAACAGCATCGGCAACTTTCTTCCACCAATCACGAGTCTTTTCCCTCTTTACAAGAAGTCCGGAAACTACCACAATTGCAAGTGGCAGTCCATAACATCTTCTTGCAATTTCCGATCCTAAATGTTCCAACTCAGAAGGGCAACTTCCTTTCCGGAAGACCTTCTTGCATAGGAGTTCCCAACTTTTTTCATCAGTTAGAAACTGCAAATGATGAGGACTTTCGGGATCAGCATGCAAGGCTACCTCTGTGTTCCGACTGGTTAATAGTATCCTACTCCCAAAACTAGTCTTTGGAAATGCCATTTTAAGATCATCCCAAGCTTCGTTTGTCCAAACATCATCAATGACAATAAGATACCGATTGCTCTTCAATTGACCACATAGCTCTTCAGCTAACCTATCGTCATTCATTCTATACATTTGCTCACTAAGTAGGCCTAAAGAATCTAAAATTCCAAGAAAAGCTTCCTTTCTACTGTATTGTTGAGAGACATAAATCCATGCGCGATTATAAAAATGGTACTCAATGGAAGGATCTGTATAAATCTTTTTAGCTAATGTTGTTTTCCCGAGACCCCCCATGCCAACAATTGAGACAATTTCTAGCTCCTTAGAGCCTTTAGTAAGGCGATCCATGACTACTTTAGCCTCTTCATTGAACCCCACCACGTTTTCTTCTTCCACAATAGGTGTTTTTTTCCGTGGTGGAGTTCTACGAGAAGGCTCTCTCCCGTGAAGGCTTTCAATTCCAAACAACTTTTTGTCATAAATCTCTTTCACCTTTACCTTGATGGTTTGAATCTCTTTGGCAACATTGCGGAGCTTGGAAGAATGATCAAATGCATATATCACTCTTTTCATGGTGCTTCTCGCCTTCTGGGCAGCAGCATTCACTACAAATGTATCGATTATATCCTCTGCCTCATACGCAACTATCGTGATTTGACTTACTAATTCTCGAACATATTCATACTCACTACGCTTCTCCCTGGAGTCCTTAAGAAAGGCCTTCATCAAACTCAACTCCCTATGAAGAGATTCAACTTGATCCTTCACCCCAGAAAGCAGGTCAACATGGTAAAGCAGTAATTGCTTCAAATTCTCTAAAAGAAACTCTACAACAGCATCAGCCATCCCTCAAGCAAATACAATCCCTTAGCTTGCCCTTCTTGATTATAATTACTGATAAATTGAACAAAAATCATTGCAAAATTATCATATATATGGTTCAAAAAGTCTGAATTAATATAATATTGTTATTATTTTGCATTTCATTGAAGAATCTAAGAATAAAGATTGAATTTTGAAGAACTAGAGAATGTCCATCCATCTATCAAGGCTTTATTTTCATCATGCAAGTTGCAGTATAGAACACAGAAAAACAACTACTATTGTTGGAAACCTTGAAGCCAACAAATTAAAACCCAGAAAGGACATACAAACACAAGAGACAATAAAGCAGAGATGAAGAAATATTATCTATTTTCCAACATCATATATATATAACTATTGAGGAATACAGTATATGATATGATGAAGATAACATCGCAGAGAATCATAACAATTGCATGCTACAATAATCAATGAATTAATAATTGAAATTGTTAGAAGAAGAAAACATAAGAGAAGAATCAGAAGACTTACAACTGAGCTAGTGAAGTTTTGATATTTCTGGGTGAAGACTGAAGAGAAGATCGTCCATCCATCAATGCTCTATTCTCATTTCTCATCTTGCAAGTTGTATTATTGTGCCAAGTCAAGTCAAGTCAATTATTAATTGTTTATGAAAAACATAAAAGATAAATAATAATGGCGGCTTCTTGGAAAATGCAGTGAAAATCCTTTCTTTTTTATTGAAGGAAAAATAAATAAAATTGCAAAGATTACATAAATTTAAGTTAAGTTGTACCTATACAACTTTGTTCTATTATCTTGTACTTGATTTCAGAATCCTAGAGTTGGACTCTTATTCAGCGAAAAGATTATGAATTTTGGTTAGTAATATTTTTTAATTACATAAAAACATACATATATAATGGATTTTGGCTTCTAATATATCTTTTTTTTTTTAAATTACACAAAACAAATATATAATTCGCTTTATTCAAACATACTATATATGATGAACGTTGTAACATGATATCCATCATATGGCATGCAACAGCGCCATATATCACAGTAAATAAGTTCACCCACAACTATATATATGTCAATATATACATGGCATATATATAGTTTATATATGTCTTAATTAATTGGAATATTAACTAATTCCATTATCATATCATATGTATATTGTATACAGTATATATATATATATCCTAATGATTGTGCCTCTTGGATGGACCTGAAGGTGGAACGACACCTCCTTTGGGCAGTTTTTGGAACACTATGCCAACATAATTAGCTTCACTGTACTCTTTGGCTTCACCGGCGGCACAGCATAATTGCCTTCGTCTTCCTTCATAGTAGGCCTTGCCGCCATGGTTGAGTTAAGAAGAAGAAGCTGGGAAATGAGCAGAAATGCTCCAATGATAAGCCATGGAGAGCGAATGGTCTTTGAGGGAGAAGAAGAAGAAGAAGAGGCGGCCATGATGGATATATGGTTTAATTTTGAGGGTTTGTTTGCTTAGCTTAGCTTGTTTGTGAGTTTCGTTGAAGAAGGAGAGGGCTTAATTTGGGGGTATATATAGATCAGAGTAGTAAGTTTGCATGGGGAGGGCAGGAAATATTATATTAATTATATATATGCAAATATATACAAACTCCACAGAAAAGCTAAGCTAAGCTAAGAATTGAGATAAGAGAATTATTGAAGAGATCAGAGTTAATTGCACGACACAGCTAGTTTACTGTGCATTAATTGCATGCTTTAATAATTTGCTCAGCTAAACACAGATGCTAGCAGGTTGCTCCCACACTTTTGGTGAAATTTAATTCTGAATTATTATTCTTAAATTTCACCCCTGTGACTAACTGAGCTGTCCATGCGGAGACCAATCAAATTATCATGGACATGCTATAAGTAGGTCAATAGTATTTGAAAGAAGGAACTTTTAACTAGTTGTACTTTTATTATGCATGCAAAGTTTTACTACCAAAATAATAATTTTTCATCATTTTCCTTTTTTTTTTTTTGGGAGGTGGTGGGAGGGGTACCCAGAAAATTATGGGTTGTCCTTTGAGTTTCTGTCATTATTACTCTATTATTCTCTAGTGTGTCTCTAATATCTTCCGGAGGACCTTAAAACTTGATCCAGTCGCACTTTCTTTGGGGACAACCTTAGCCAACCAGTTCGCTACTTCATTGTTCGCGGCGCGTATGATTGATCGTCACTTCCTAATCTTTGATGAGCCAATCCTTACACATTTTCCCCTTTAATTTTTAGATAAGGAGGGGGAAACCCGGGAGGCTAGCGCTCTTGTTCATTTTCCCTTTAAATGAATTACGTAACATCCAATTAGTATCTTCATCATTTAATTTTCCACTTCTTCCTATCCTATGACCAAATATATGATTGCTATATCTATAATCAAACACATAAATTGTGGATGCACTTTTTAATTGGTTACGTCATTCTTCCACTAATTGGTTACGTCAAATTGTACTACTTATGGGTAAGCAATTCCAACCTTATATATTGATATATTCCAATTTTCCAGTTCAGCATGTAACTATATATCATGATTGCAATAGGTGCTAGACGCTAGTCGGGCGGTAGAGTAGCGCCTAGCACCTAGACGGTCTAGGCGGCGCACAGTATAGGTACATATATGTCATACACATACATACATACATACATACATAAAAAAAAAATTAGTAAGGCTGAGTCGGCTGGGTTAACTCCGATACCTTGGCAGAAATGGACGAGTTAACTCGGCTGAATTCGGCCTAGTTGACCGAGTTAGGCGCTAGGCGACCGGTCGCCTAAGCGGGAGTCTAGGGGAGAAATCGCCACGGTCTAGGGGCGCCTAGCACCTAGGACCGATTAATCAGTGCCTAGGTAGGATTTTACACTGTTATATATTAACACAAGTACTAAAACCACTGAATTCAACCATCCTGGCCTACACACAATTACACTTAATATGGATTTAATTTTTCACCTTTAAGCTTTGTTTAGTTCAAATTATGTGTTACGTAATGGAACATTACTTAAAAAATGTTATATGTCCTAATTTACTTTTTAAAAATTTAAGATTTTCTTGAAGTAATTAATTTGAGATTATTAAGAATAGTTTTTGGATACGTTACACCAACCATCTGTCTTATTTTATTACGGTTAAAGTACCTGCTAGGTCCCTGTATTATAGCATTTTGTTCATTTTAGTCCCTGTACCTTAATTTTGTTCGATATAATCCTTGTACCTTAAAATTTAGAGCAATTAAGGACAAAATTTAACACCGTTTATTTTTTCCGTTAAGTTTGTCCACATGACGTTCGATTTGCCATGTCAGATTTTGTCCAAAAATAATATTGTTTTATGCCACACCATAAAAGTTGAAATGGCAATACCATATCACAAAATTTGACATGGCAAATCGAACGCCACGTGCGCAAACTTAACGGAAAAAATAAACGGTGTTAAGTTTTGTCCTTAATTGTTCTAAATTTTAAAGTACAGGGATTGAATTGAACAAAATTAAGGTACAAGGACTAAAATGAACAAAACGCTATAGTACAAGGACCTAGCAAGTACTTTGACCTTTTATTACTAGTCTTTTTTATGGGCAGTAATATTTTAAAAGTTATTCAATTTATTATATATTTAGATTATAAATTAAATTTAAAATCTTTTCTTATAGGGTTTATTATCAAAGATCATGGATTTTGGTTAGTAATATTTTTTAATTACATAAACAAAAACATAGATAATGGATTTTGGCTTCTAATATATATATATATATATATTTTAATTGCACACACAAATATATAATCCGCTTTATTCAAACATACTATGATGAACTTTGTAACATGATATCCATCATATGGCATGCAACTGCGCCATATATCACAGTAAATAAGTTCACACAGGCACACAGCCATACATGACATATATATATATATATATATATATATATATATATATATATATATATATATATATATATATATATATATATATATATATATATATATATATATTACAATATATATATAGTTTATATATAATTATTTCTTAATTAATTGGAATATTAATTAATTCCATTATCATATGTATATATATCCTAATGATAGTGGCTCATTATGGGTGGATCTGATATAATCGGTGATGGAGCTGAAGGGGGAACGATGCCTCCTTTGGGCAGTTTTTGGAACACCATGCCAACATGAATAGCTTCACTCTTTGGCTTCACCGGCGGCATAGCATAATTGCCTTCGTCTTCCTCGATAGTAGGCCTTGCCGCCATGGTTGAGTTAAGAAGAAGAAGCTGGTAAATGAGCAGAAATGCTCCAATGAGAAGCCATGGAGAGCGAATGGTCTTTGAGGGAGAAGAGGAAGAAGAAGAGGCGGCCATGGTGGATGGTTTAATTTCGAGGGTTTGTTTGTGAGTTTCGTTGAAGGAGAGGGCTTAATTTGGGGGTATATATAGATCAGTGTAGTAAGGTTGCATGGGGAGGCTAGGCAAGTAGCCCCTCATGCCGCGGGTGTAACTTGATTCTGGCTCATTATTCTTAAACTTCACTTTTGTAATTAATTGAGTTGTCTATGCGGGCTCCAATCTAATTATCATTCTTCTAAGGCAATTTATATCGTACACCACGGCGCGCGTTGCATTGTGCGTCCAGATGCAAAACGACGTCGTTTTAATTTTTTTTTTTTTTTGAAATTTCCCGCCCCAGTGTTTGACAGTTATTTTTCTTTAAAAAAAAACCATGTTCAAAAATGTACATAATGTTATACATGAATGTATATAATTGTATACATGAATGTATATAATTGTATAACAAAATATACATACTGTTTTTTAAAAGATAATACACATAATCTAACATAATACATAATAAACATAAATTTTTAACCTAATACACATCAACTCTTAACATAATACACAAAAATTTCCTGATTCGGATGTACGTAATTGTATAAAAGAAGTGTACATAATTGTATGAACAAATATACATAATTGTATGAACAAATATACATAATCACAGCAACTTCATTCCTACCGTGCCTCCCAAAACGACGTCGTTTTGGGAGGCGCGCGGCGCACAGTGCTACGCGCGCCGTGGTGTAGGGTATAACGATTGTTCTTCCAAAGGTTGAACCCTAAGCCTAAGGGCCTCCCACACCTCAACCCAACAGCATTTGAGAGGATGTAAATCATGCGGGCTCCAATCTAATTATCATGGACATGCTATAAGTAGGTCAATAGTATTTGAAAGAAGGAATCCTTTTAACTTTATAGTTGTAATTTTATTATGCGAAGTTTTACTAAAAAATAATTAATTTTCAGAATGATCCTCTAACTATGACCTTTTCTTAAATTGATTTTTTGACTTTTAATTGCATTCAAAGTAGTTCTCCGACTATTGAATTTTAAGCCAAAATGATCATCCGTTAGCTTTGGCGTGAAGTAGGTGTTAAAATGAAGGGTAAAAAGGGTCATTCAGGTTTTTGCACTCCAATTTAATGAATCTGTGACTCTCTTTCAGCAACCTGCGCACGTTTTTCTTCAAATTAAGTTTTTGCTCTCCTCAATCTGCGATCAACATGTGAGATAATCAACTAGAAGGCCAAAGAAGTCCATCTTCAACTTCATCTACAAACTTCCCAAGTCAAAGATTTCACTATGGAGATGTTGTTGTTCGTTTTTGTCAATGTGGCATGCAATGGAGCATCCAAACATCATGGACTAATGAAAATTCCGATCGGAGATTCTGGGTTTGTGGAAGAAGCAATGTACGTTTGTCAAAATTGTTATCTTTTGTTTTTATTTTTATTATTAATTTTACGGGTTGCAATATTATTATTAATTTTGATCGCAGATTAATGAGAGCAAAAACCTAATCTAAAGAAAAAACGTGCGCAGGCTGCTGAAAATGAGTCACAGATTCATTAAATTGGAGTGCAAAACCTAAATTACTCGGTTTACCCTTCATTTTAACACATACTTCACGCCAAAGCTAACTGAGACCATTTTGGCTTAAAATTCAATAGTCGGAATACCACTTTGGTTGCAATTAAAAGTCAAGAAACCAATTTAAGAAAAGGCTCTAGTCGGATGACCATTTTGAAAATTAACTCCTACAGAAATAGTAAATTTTCATCATTTTTCTCGTTTTAGATACGGGGGAGGGAAACCCGGGAGGCTAGCTCTCCTATTCGATCATTTTCCGTTTAAATGAACTAGTATTTTCACCCGTGCGTTGCACGAAATTAATTTGTTATAATATTTGAAAAATATTTGGATCGATATATAATTATGTAAAATATAACAACGAATATTATACGGTATAATTGATGAAATGAGTTGGATAGATTATGTTTTCTGATGTTATCTTTGCTTGATTTCAATTTATACAATTAAAATTTATAAACTTAGTTGACAAATGGGTCTAACATTTCTCATCTGAACGACTTAAACAATGTGAATGTCCAATGGTTTGTCTCAACATTTTCATGAATATATTATTAATACAATTATTAATGGGTGTGTTTGGTTGATAGATTTAACTCTAAAGAATGAGTATTAAAGTGATTGGTATTGTTTGGTTTAATTTATACTCCCTCCGTCCCATTTTCCATGTCTTACTTTCCTTTTTAGTTTGTCCCAAAATGTTGTCCTCTTTCCAAAATTGAACATCAATATCATTCTACTTTTCCAATTTACCCTTATGACTTTTGCTTTTATTTCCAAAAGTAAGAAAAGTGAAGGGCATAATTGGGAAATGACATAGCATTTACTTTAATTCCTTAAAAAGCGTGCAAAAAGCAAATGAGACAACCATTTCGGGACGGAGGGAGTAGTTTTTTAGAACACTACTATGTGTTTCAAATACCCCCTTAATTGAAAATCCCATACCCAAATAAAATAAGGGTATCATCCCCTTTTTATTACAAAGGAAGGGGATACCCATATAATCTATGCCTACACCCCCCTTAATTGAAAATCCCATACCCAAATAAAATAAGGGTATCATCCCCTTTTTATTACAAAAGAAGGGGATACCCATATAATCTATGCCTACACCGAGGCTCGAAACCTAGACCTCCCACATAAAGAAACAATTTGATACTAGTGGACCACAAGCCACTTGGTATTCTCATCCCCTTTGATTAGTGCTTTTAAATTTGTGTTTTTATTTTTGTTTTTTTTTTTTGTTAATATTGGTGTTTTGGATGTCTTTATATTAGAATCAATTGTCTTTATTTTGTGTTTTTGTATTCTTAAAATCTTTATTCCCATTATTGGATCATACAAAATCAAACAACATTATTGATAATCATTCTCATTCTGTCATACTACCAAACATGCAAAATACTTTCATTAAAACCCATTGTCATTACCAAGTATTTGATACCATTCCAATTCTTATTCTTATGTGCGAACCAAACACACCCTGCGTACCACCATACGTATCATCAAATTAGTAACTAATTTTCCACTTCTTCCTATGAACATATATATGATTGCTATATTTATAATCAAACACATAAATTGTGGATGCACTTTTAATTGGTTACGTCAAATTGTACTACTTATGGGTAAGCAATTATATTCCAACGTTATATATAGACATATTCCAATTTTCAGTTCAGCATGTAACTATACATTAACAAGTACTAACACTTCTGAAAATTATGGAATTGAATTTCCGACCACCTGAAAGTGGTCTTAAATGAAGTCGAAAGTAAAAAGTGGTCGAAAATAACAACAAAGGTTTTTCTAGATATCAAAAGTGGTCGGAACAAGGCTTTCGACTTGATTTAAGATCACTTTCAGGTGGTCGGAAATTTCATAATTTTTAGCAGTGTAAAACCACTGAACTCAACTAGGGATGGCAATTTCAATCCGCTCCGCAAATATCCACCCCAATCCACCCCGCATGAATCGGGTCTTTTTTTTTTTTTTTTTTTTTTTTTTTTTTTTTTTTTTGGGTGATGGTGGGTGGTGAGTCGGTGGTGGGTGTTAAAAAAGTAAACTCGCGGTGGGTCGGGTTGAATTCGAGTTCTATGTACAAAACTCGCCTTGAACCCCACCCAACCCACTATGTGTGTGTGTGTATATATATATATATATATATATATATATATATATATATATATATATATATATAGTAAAATAAATACTAGTATATAGTTATTTATAAAATTTATATAACTTCGTCTATCTTTTATAATATAACTTTTAATGAAATTATTAAATGTAAATAATATTGTAGTTACTATGAATAAGTTAATTAAATCGTGCACGTTCGTTAAATTCTCTTAATCTCAATCAAATTCATAAAATTAAATTATACATTTGATATTTTAATTAGAGTTAATTTCATTTTTAGTCCTAGATTTATAGGTAGCAATCTATTTTTAGTTTTTTTTTTCTTTTTTTTTTTCCAAAATATCCTCGTTTGGTCCTATTATTATTGTGACATGACCATTTTTGGTTCTCCATCTAAAAAATTGATTAAATTTCGTAAAATACAAGGGCATTTAGGTCGTTAATTATAAAAAAAAATTTCAAAAAAATAAAAAATAAAAAAATAGCGGGTCAATATAACTCGCATGCATTGTATTAAAAAAGATTGAAATGTTCTTGTATTTAACAATATTTCAACTATTTGGTTGATGAAAGACTAAAAATGGTCATGTCACAATAATACTATGACCAATGATTAATGTTTTGAATAAGAAGGGACTAAAAGTGGATTGCCAGCTATAAATCTAGGATAAAAAGTGGAATTAACTCTAATTAAAACATCAAATGTATAATTTATTTTTATGAATTGGATTGAGATAAAGAGATTTAACTATCGTGCACGATTTAATTAACTTATTCATAGTAACTATACAATATTATTTACATTTAATAATTACATTAAAAGTTATACTAAATACGGAAATGTCAAACTTAAAAATTATGAGAATTTTTTACTTCATGTATCCTACACAAATGTTGAAAATTATAACGTGTCCTACAAACTATTGACCCATATTAATTTTTCACATTTCTTAAATTTGTTTTAATTTTTTTTTTTTTAAAGTTTAGATCAGATAATCAGATATACAGGAACTACTTGAAAAACACTTTAACTATATGCTGAACAAGGAACCTTCTCTGTCTTGGTACACCCACCTTGTCCTCTATTACAATCTGCTTGAAAGAGTATAACGCTGACTACTATGCATGTGTATATATATAGAGAACTAGAGTTGAGTATTTAACTATAATAATTTTTGGTGTAACAATAAGTATTTGATAAATGATAATTGGTATCAAAATAGGTTGTAAATTTTAAATTCCCATTGGGCTAGAAAAAAAACAAAACCTATACTAGCATAGATGACCGAATGAGTGACTAGTAGTTGTGGGATAAGAATTGGGGTCAGCTAACTTAGAAAATGCAAGAGATCTACCAATGATATAATCGTCGTGTGTGCATTAAAGGTTACAATTGTTTATTATCGTACATATGTGTGTGCAACTAAGGTGTCACATATTTTCTTGGTTGTCTGCTCTAATGAATGTTACAAATACGTTTTAGTATACTTTGAGATTTACCGTTTGCTCCATGAATTTCTTAGACGGCGATAAAACTAAGACATTTTATGATACACTAAAATTTGCTGTGTGTATATACATAGCTTAGTTTGTGCGTTTTCTAACCCAGTGTGCATTTCTGAAAGACGATCCGTACGTGTGCGTGAGTGTTGTATGAGTATGTCAGTGACAACTACAAAACTATGGATACAAGAACAAAAATTCTAACAAAAGGTAAGGTTTGGAAATAGGGATTTGTAAAAATATATGCTACTAGCGAATCATGAAGCTAAGCGGGTGCGCAACAATGCGTAGGTGTGTGCTTAACAATTTAGTAGTTAGTGCACAGACCGTTCACACCAACTACTTTATTACGTCTAAATAAATAATCTATCCATTAAAATAAATAATGAGATAAGAAATCCGGAAAATTACTAAACAAAGATAATATGACCATAATCTAATATTAAAACTATATCAAACAAAAAGGAATTCTCTGTGACTACTAATGATAAAAATTACATACACAAATTAAATATATAATCTTCTGCTTTATTAAAACATACTAATGATGAACGTTGTAACATGATATCCATATCATATGGCAACAGCGCCATATATCACAGTAAATAATTAAATTCACACACAGCCATAATACAATACATGCATGACATATATTATAACATATTTATAGATTAATTGGAATATTAATTAAGTAGTCCATCATATCATGATATGTATATATATTATATCCTCTCTTTTTTTGAGAGAATATATATATATCATATCCTAATGATATGATTGTGCCTCTTGGATGGACCAGAAGGAGGAGTGATGACTCCTTTGGGCAGTTTTTGGAACACCATGCCGACATAATTAGCTTCACTCTTTGGCTTCACCGGCGGCAATAACATTGTTGCAGAATTAGCATGCTTTAAGGGATCATTATTGTTTGGTTTCAGGTGGGATGAGAGCATAGAATAATTGCCTTCGTCTTCCTCCATAGTAGGCCTTGCCGCCATGGTTGAGTTAAGAAGAAGAAGCTGGGAAATGAGCAGAAATGCTCCAATGATAAGCCATGGAGAGCGAATGGTCTTTGAGGGAGAAGAAGAAGAAGAAGAAGAGGCGGCCATGGTGTATATATGGTTTAATTTTGAG